TTCCCGATGATGATGTCGTTTCAGCATCCCACACACACTCACCATTGATCTATACGAAGGCCTTGTTGGTGGTCCTGCAGCGTGAGCTCCACTCGTTACTGTTTGTTCAACTCCCAAAATCCGGTGTGTCTGTTTGCGTTGAACATCACATCCCCAACAACTTTCATGGCTTTGCGACAGTCAAAAGTGCACAGTGCGGCCTGCTTCCTTCGCGCCAATCAAAGGGATATTCTTGACGCCTGCGTGTGTCTCGCAAATAGCCACCGTCGCCACAAGAGCAAAGTTTTAATTCACAAAGCTACAGAGATTATTATCCTCCCAACGGTTCACGGGGCAATGTTGCCCTGCGAATTGAGGCCCATTTGTGACATTCATGCCATTCGTCACCGTTGCAACCACGCAACGGCACTATTCGATCCACGTGTTGGCAGTGCCTGCGTTGGAAAGGTATTCAACCAGACCCACCGTACTTACGGGCGACGCGGAGAAGGAAGCGTCCACGTCCGCCCAATTACGGGGGATGGAAGTGATCATCTGCAGCTCCTCCGTCAGGGGGGCAGGAAACAGGCTGCTTTTCTCTTCATTGTGCCTCGCTCCCACAAGGTGCAACACACCATCCGAGTACAGCAGGACGTTGGCAATCAGCTTATTCAGAACAGTGTCCATAGAAGCCGGTCCAACACAAAACACGCGGTTGCTGTCAGTCACCCAAACGTAGAGCGCATGGGCCTCACTCTCCCACCACGGGGAGCTCACTTCCCGAGCCTACAGCATGACGCTCTTTCCTCCAACGCTCGCGGTGACAATGGCTCCCACACGCAAGCTCTTTTCCCAAAGAACCGATTGTGAATTGGCCCATACGCCTGCAATTGCCCCGGGTACTTCCACCCACATTGCCCCCTTGTCACGTGACTCGTGCACTCTGCAGTACCGGCTCCCATAGCAATGAGTAATCACAAGAAGTTGTCCCTGCTCCCACTCGGCAATGAGAAGGTCAATGCAGTCCGCAGGAAAAATGCCCCTTGAAAGCACTCAGCTTCTGCCGCCGTCCGTCGAACAGATTATCATGGAGAAATCGTCTTTTTCGTCATTGTACGCAATCACGGGGACACAAGCGTGCCATTCAAAACACCTGAGCCACAAAAAACATTCAATTCATTCGCGCCGCGTTCGTGAGTCTCGGGAATGATCTGTGATCACAGCAATTTGGGTTCATACCAGTGGATCAGCTCGCTCCGTCTGCCGTCATTGGGCTGCGTGAACTCACCCACAACCAGTTGAACATCACGGTCTCTCAACGCCTAATTGAACCCACCATTCGTACCAAACTTTTGCTAGCTTCCTGCAAGGAGAAACGCCCTATTGCCGCTCTCAATTGCCGTGGGTTTGAACGCGGAGCCTACACCACCCTTTATATTCGCTGTGCTCAACACGATGTGTGTATTCCGGCCATTATTAAACTCACCAAAAAATACGACAAACTCCACGCAAAAAAGATGGAACCCGCCAAAATATCCGCATGAGAAAGCACACTCGGTGCCCCATCGCTATCATTAAGCGTCGTGTAATCCCCATCAAAGACAACCGTCAGTCTACCAACACCCACAAGAGCGAGCGATCCAAACGAATCCCTCCTTCCTCTTGCACCAGTCCCACCCTTCGGTTCCAAATGCGTTCATCCCGGAACAAAAATAAAAACCGCCCACAGCAGCCGCGCAATCAATTGATTCTCCCCCGTCGATGCGGCCGCAGATCCACAGGTGGCGCAGCACATCACGAGGAGGAGTAGCGACACCGCAGAAGTAAACACACGCCGGGACATGTTGGGCCTCGGCGGCTCACTCTCTCTTCCTTCCCTCCTCCTTCCGCTGGATCCGCTCACGCGGCGACGGTTGTGTGTGCGGGGTGCCATCACAGCAGCAACACGTGAGACCATATGAATATGTGTGTGTGGGCGGCGTATGTGCTGTTGTTGGTCTTTTCAGAGACCTCGAATTTCACAGTAGCGTTTAGCGCGTGTTTTCTTTCTTTCCTAGTGTGTGACTGTGTTCAATAAGTGGAGAGTACAGCAGCAACAGCGGCAATACATCAGAAAGGTCAGTGAGGAGCAGAGCAGAGCAACCACGCAGAGAGTGGGGCACAAGAGAATCCGGAAGAGAAAGCACGGAGGACCATCGCCCAAAGAAAAGAGCAGCAACACGGCAAGTCACGGCGGGCCGTCGGTGTGTGCGGGCCAGCCCTCACGCGGTGCAACACGCCTCGCACCCAACAGGAAAAGACAGAGAGAGAGAGAGAGATGGATGCCGTCAGGAGGCACTCACAATCAACATGGCCCGTGAGCATTCAGCCACTCCACGCAGGAACACAGGAGGAGAGGATGACAGAGGAAAAGCAAGAAGCAGCACAAACACACAAAAGAAACAAATTGCGGGAAAAGCACCGCCACGGCCCTCGCCCTGGCCGGCAACTCCACACCAGCCCTCACACACACACACACCATCGCAGCGCCGCCAGTCCGCGAAAGAAAAGATTCGGTCCTCCACACAACAAACGCACACACCACCACCGCCTCCAGTTCAATCCCACAGCCAACGGGATACAGCCACAGCCCGCAGCCAACACAATGCACACGGAGCAAGCAATCACCCAAAGAGCCGCACGCAAAAGCGATTCCTCATCCATCCATGACGCGGCAACAACATTTCCAGCCATTCCACCCACAATGGAATTTGATGCCCGACTCAAGGCGGTCATAGGTGGTGCATCACACCCGCAGGAAAAGTGACTCGCCGTGCTATCCCTCTCCTCCCCTCGCTTCATGCCCACAGAAGGAGGCGGCAGCCACCAGCACACACTACAAAAGTAGCATCCAAATCCACTGAAATCTGCATTTTGTGTGTCTGTGTGTGTGTGCCTGCAGCAGCACAAGTCAAAAAAGTAAAAAAGAAGAGCGGAGCATTTAAAGAGACAAAAAAAACTGTACAGCAGAAGTGCATGGCAGAAATAACAGGACTGCTCAAGCTCATGATATTGCACTGCGGACCAAAGCAGCGGCAATTCATAAAAAATTAAATAAAAATAATAATAAAAAAACTCTTCACCATTCCACACCTCACACCCTGAAAAAAAAGAAAAAATGAAAAAAAAATGAAAAAAATGAAAAAAAGTCGTCCTTTATTACGGCTACACCCAAATAATAAAGAAAAAGAAAAAGAAAAGCCGCACAAAAAAAATTTCACCTGGTTACCGTGTGACCATACCAAACTGTTTTTTTATTTTGCCCAAAAATAAAATTAAAAGGTATTTAAATGTCTTTCAGCCGTCCGACCCTCCGTGTGTCCGCACATCGTTTATATTTCACGGGGTCATCTGCGTGTTGCCGCTCCCCTCAGCCCTCTCATCGGCGTGTGAGTGCGGCCCGCAGAGCACAGTCACTCGTGTGTGTGTGTGGGGACTGAGAGAAGCACGCAGACACGACGGGAGTCGCGTCACTCCATCGGGAGAGTGAGCGCAGCAAAAGAAAAAAAATCATCGGAGGGGAGAGAAATGCTGACGGGACTGTCAGCGCGTGAAATAAACACAAAAAACAAAAAAAAGAAAAAAACACGGCGGCAGGGTGTGGCTGTGTGTGTGGCGCTGCGGGTGTCTGCCCGCCCTGGCCGCAAGAAAACAAAACAAGAGGGAAAGAAATGTGTGCTCCGCCCCACAGGCCCTCGTCGCACGCCCACACGTCACGGCTCCCTCAGCGCGCCGTTCGTCGCGGCCCCTCCTCATGCGTGCAGCAGGCGAGGCGCACAGGGCCGTCGTCATGAGCGTGTCGGTGGGTGTGCGAGTGGAGCAGTTGGGCGGGAAACACACGGCACCCCTCACACGAAGAGTGCAGCAACAAACAATTAAAGAGGGAAGAGTAGAAAAGAAAAAAAAAAAACGTCCATAGTGATTGCCCTAAAGCAGCAAGAAAAAGAAGGGAAGTGATTTACAAAAAAGAAAACAAAAATAAAGAAATTAAAAAAAAGAAAATGGAATCAACAAAATTCAGTGTTCAATGCTGGGATGCTGCTCAGTTGTTGTTCCACGAAAAGCCGCGATTCCACCCTCCCTCACACCTCAGCAGAGAGCCGCTGCGCCCCACAGCCCCAGAAGAAGCAGCAACCACACCCGAGACACACACCCATGCACGGTGCTGTCACCAATTAGATACATGGCCGCCAACTCGCCGAGCTGCCCCTTCTCAAGCAAAATGTCACGGTCCGAGGGTGTTGTTGCGTTGGACTCCGATGGGATCTCGGTTTTCCCAGGCGCTGTGTTTGTATTGCCCGGTGCGGTGTCGACCGTCTGTGGCGCCTCCTTGCCGTCTTCAGAAGAAACTTCAGTTCCTTCAGTCCGAGAGATGTTGTCGGTGTTCTCCGCGGATGTAGGTTCGGCGTCACTCCTTGAAGGAGTGAGGCTGCTGTCTGAGCCCATTGTTCTCTCGGAATTTCCTTCCCCCGCCTCGAGGCTGAGGCTTTCCTCCGCGCCGGTAGTTACGGTTCCAGTGGACCGCACGTCGTCATTTTCAGCGGAAGGCTCAACGCTTTGTTGCACTTGGTGCTCGCCGTTCACTGATGCAGCGGCCGTTTCCATACTCAATGACGCAGCCACTGGAGACGTTGTTCCGCCACTCCGGTCATTCGTTCCTCCATCCTCCTCTGGCTCTTCTGTATCATTACTTTCAGAGGATTTTTCAACATCACTGAACACCGTTAATTTCTCTGACTGTAGGTCTTGTGGCTGCACATCTGAATCACGTTGCATCGATTCCTTCGCTTCGTTCAGCGTGGTTTGCCAAGACGTTTCGTCTCCGGAAGGCTGGGCATTGTCCTCTGAAAAAGAATTCTCTGCGCTCTGCGCTGCTATGGCGGACTCAGAAATAGAGGCTCCCGCGAAAAGCGTGGAAGAGGAAGCTGCAGGCACCGGACCATTGACGATCCCTTCCTCTTGTTCATCAGTATCACTCTCAGTCAACTCCTCATAGCTGGCGGCGCTTTCTTCACTCTTTGACTCGGAAGCAACTGAGACGTCTGTGCTGGTCACCTGACCTGTGGGTTGTTTCTCAACACCCAGTGATGGAATGGTGACTTTGCCGGCATTGAGTTTGCGCAGATCATCTCCCAACAGTTCCTCGTTGTACAGCATGACGTTGGTCACCGTCACGTGGCCGCCCGTTGCACTTTGGTGCTTACTGTCCCCACCGATGTAGAAGTGTGAGATCCTGTGGAAGTCAAACAGACTCGTATTATATTCCGTGTTGTGGATTTCCTCTCCATCCACAAAGACAGTCCATTCTTTATCATCCATTCGCAGTACCACCTGATACGTCTTGTTTGGCTCCCACAAATCAACATCCCCCGCATCATCAACATCCTCCGGTATGGCCAACCACTTCTTGTCATGGGTGTACGACAGACCAAAAAGCACCGTGCTGTCGGTGTCATTCATCCTTACACCAATCAAAGGAACGCTGCCTACCTCCGGCACCTCGTGGATGGACACCGTCGCCAAAAGAGTAAACTCGGTGTTAGCAAAGTAGTACGGCACAGTCTGCCCCATGTCGCCAACAGGCCACTCCGCCCACGCCCCGGGTCCTTTGAACGTCCATCCATTGCGAACCCTTTTCTCCCCATTCGTCACTGTTGCATTCACGCCGAGGTACTCGTCCCGCCACTCGGTCACAGTTGAGTTACCAGACAAGAAGCCAACAAGCCCTTTGGTGGGAACAGGACCATAGCACATACCCTTCCTTGGCAAGTCGACAGCGGCGCCGGAAACGGAACTGCATGATTCAAAGGCGCTGTCCAAATCCTTCCATGTCTTCACCACTTCCTTTATCCGCTCCAGTTTCTCGGTCAGGCGCACTGCAACAAGATTGTATGCTCCGTCTTTCTTGTTTTCGTACAGTGAAATCAACTCATTATTATTATCTTTCATCAACAGTGAGCTGGCGGCGGCGTCATCATTTTCACGGGATACCGGCCCAACATCATACACGCGTGCCTTGTCCGTCACCCAAAGATGAAGCCGACCCTCTCCATTGTCCTCCTTCGCATACACCGGCGCGGTGATGAGCATCACCTCCCTTCCCTCAATGATTGCTGTCGTGGATCCACTCTGGACGCCGTACCCCTTTCGATTGTGTGAGTTGCCCCACACGCGCGTAATTGGTTGGAAGTGTCCGTACCAATTGTACCCATCCTCAGTGGACCTGTAAACGTCATAGTAGCCTCCAGCACAATGAGCCATCATGAAGAGTCTTTCGCCGTATTCGCATTTTTCCCACTTCACCAGGGTTGGATCCCTGCAGCCCTTACCAGGCTTTTTTTGCGAAAGCTCCCATTTGTTCCCTGACTTGGAGAGACGCATAGACAGCAAAACGCTCGTTCCATCCTTGTCTTTGGCCTGCATGGGAAACACAATCGCGCCATCACCCATCACAGCACCCGATCCTCCACCGCCAATTAACTCGGTCAAGGAATGAGAATATCCTATGCCTTGAGGGTTCACCACATGGGTCTCATTCCATCTAATTTTCTTCATTCCACCCTCATCAGAGACAGTTCCCTTCACGAGTAAAAGGCCTCGCTCTTTCTTGCGTTCAACCTGCTTCTCTTTATGGCTGTAGTTTCCCAGGAGCATGTAGACGCTGTTCCCAATTACAACTGTCGTTGGCCGCAACACTTCCGTTGTCCCAAAACTACTCGCGGCGGTGTCCACAAGTTGCATGCGAAACAAACTTAAATCCGACGTAGAAATATCCATTGAGTCATCACTTATATTCAGGTGCTTTGACACGATCCCAGCACAGCTGCCGGCTCCATCCTTTTCCCCGCACTGCGCCTCAGAAACGACAAATACATCATCACCCACTTTAACGAGGCCAGGAACACGAAGCGAGGTGATTTTGCTTCCGTCCTTAAACTCCTTCCAATTAGCAAATGATATCGACGTCGTCCCCTTAAACGGATCAATGGTATTCCTTGTTTTGCCCTCAGCGTGCGAAGCTCCACCAATCCCACAGCACATCATCATCACGACGAGGAAAAGCAGCACCACGGAATTAAACACACGCCGGGACATTTTGGGCCTCTGCCGCTCACTCTCTCTTCCTTCCCTCCTTCCGCTGGATCCGGTCACGCGGCGACGGTTGTGTGTGCGGGGTGCCCTGACTGCAGCAACACGTGAGAGCATATAAATATGTGTTTTTGAGGGCGTGTGTGTGTTGTTGGTCCCTTCAGAGCCTTAAAATTTCACAGTAGCAATTAGCGCTTGTTTGCTTTCTTTCCTAGCGTGTCTGTGTCCAAGAAGTGGAGAAGAAAACAACAGCGGCAGCACATCGGACACGTCAGTGAGGAGCAGAGCAGAGCACCCACGCAAAGTGCAGGACTCGAGAGAACACAGAAGGAACAGCATGGAAAACAATTGCACACAGAAAACAGCAAAAACAACAACACGGCAAGTCACAGAAGAAGCCAACACACGCACACATGCACGCGAAATTTCATTATTCGGCGACGCCATTCAAATTACTGCCGAAACAGTCTGCAAGTGATACAGTGATCGGTCACACGCTCCCAGTGGACTGCCGCGGCAAGGACGCGGTCACAAAAGGAAGTATCTGCACAAACGTGGGCAGTATCAATTCACAGCACCGCCACACGACACACGCTCTCTCGGTCCATCCCACGTCCCGCCTCAAAAGGCCGCGGCAAGCACCAATCAACAAAATAATGAGGCGGCGGAAACAAATTCCCTGCAGGCACTTCAGGGCTCCACAGCAACGCCAACAACAGGAGCGTGCATCCCTCCGCTTGCAGCAGTGCAGGCCTCTTTGCTCCCGGCCTCTCGGGGCGTTGAGCACTACCAGACCATCTCGCGCTCACAAAACAAGCCGCACGCAGATGCCATTCATTTTCTCCGCAAATGGCGTTGCCGCGCTGAATCACCTGCAAATAATCCACAACTCATCACCCAAAGTTTCTTTCCATTGCCACAAAAGAAAAGGAAAAATGTTTTGAAAACTCAACACAAATACCACTTCGCCCTACTCACTGCGCATTGCCCCGCACAGGATCGTTTTTACTCGCCCTCTGCTCTTCGCCCATCCCATTCCTGCCTGCCAGGACGGACATCACAGTCGCAACCCCTCCCAAGAAAGACTTTGTCACATGCTGGCACAGGACATATTTTTCCCTTTGCATCCCGGTCTCCCGCCCACAGGAGGGCAAACAGGGGGATTGCGTGCGTGTGCGTGTGTATGGCCATGTAAAAACTCATGGAAATTCAAAGAAATACGGCACGCAGAGCGACCCCGCCCACGGATTGTAGAGTCCACTCGTACACCGCAGCGGGAAGAAAAAACGTCCTCTCGTTGCTTTTCTGAGAGGCCGATTCATTACCATCACGCCGCCTCAACAGCGTGTACCGGCGAGCGGAGGAGATGATTGCTCAATCGCACCTCATGTCGGAGGCGCTCATAACGTCTCCCTGCGGCCACTCGCCCTCAGCAACAAGCCGCATGGCAGAACGCAACTCAATTCACCCACTCGCCAATAAAACAAATAAACATGCATCTCACCGCCATAAAACGGCCATCAACATCTGTTTCACGGCAGACACCAAATGCCAAGGGATTGAAGAAATATATATATATACGCGTATGGTCTCCCACAATACATTCCAACAAAGGATAGCCTCTCAAGCCTGAAAACAAACACCGTAAAGTCACAGAAGCCGCCTCGTCAAGCCAAAAATCGTGTGGTGCCCCTCCTCGCAATGCTCTGCTGTCCGCAGACACCGCCCTCTGTGGTGTTTCAGCAAAAGCGAAAGAAAAAACATTCACAAACCAACAGCAAGAGAAGCCTCCACACGCAACGTGTGCATCACCGTGGAGCATCGCTTTTATCCCTGCAAGTAAAAGAGGCGCCGTCACATCATCCGCAAGGATCGCCACAAACACGCCAAATTTCGACGTACGCCAAACGCTCCGCCGTGACCATCGTTTTCCCGATAGGGCAGCCCACTCCCGTCCACCGTGTCTGCCGAGCGGGACACACCAGGCCTGCCGCTGCAACGCAAAAAAGAATCAGAAATACGCAACGGATCCCGTCGCAGTCGTTGGCTCAGCCGCCGTGTTGAGGTTTGGGATGGGCGGATGGAGGAATAAAAACAAAACGGGCAAATATCCCCGCGGAATCCCGCATTCCACGCAGTCCCAATGGCCAGAGGGTCCTCTGGGGACGCCTGGGAGACGCATCCGCCACACTCTCACGCACCATCATTCACGGCTCCCCAATCGAGTCCAGCGGGCCTCGTGAAGCACACGGCGCGCCTCAGTGGCGTGGCGAGCAGCCTTCTCGGAGAAAAGGACGCGTGGCGATGGTTCCCCTCCCCACTTCACTTTTCTTTTTTTTCTCCTCCTGTTTTTGGTGGCATGTCACAGAAGGGGAGCGTACTTCATGTCCCCGAGCCCTTCTCTCGGTACACGCACAAAAACAGAGAGGGGAATAATAAACGAGTGTGTCAGGCGGCACGGAGAAATAAATGTGCGGGAGACAAACAAAACAACAGAACAAACAAAGAGCCCAACAGATATGCACGCAGCATATACAGCGGAAACGGGTGTCACCTTCAGTGGGTAAATTAGTAGCCAATGGCGGTGTCGATCGCCCACGAAAAGAAACAGCGTTGTGCTCACAATACTTTTGGCTTGTTTTCTGCTTCCCTCCCCTTTTATTTCCCCCTCATCCATCATCTTCACGTTTCTTACTTTCTACTTCCCTCTCCTACCTTCGGCAGCACTGCCAAGTTTGGACGCTGCGCCCTCTCCTCCCCCGTCATGTCAAATATACGTTTACGCTCTTAAAATCCACGGCGTACTCGCTTAAATATTAATCGTGTAAATAACCAAACAGAGGTGTAAATTTTTAAAAATTAAGGCAAAACAAAATAAGAAAGCAAAACTTGTGTTTGTTGCCGAATCATCTTCCTTTAGTCCTCACAGGGTACAAAAGCCTCCTGTCGTAGTCAATACTTGGAACTCTTCGGATCTCATCATGCCCGTAGGCCCGAATGCGCTGTATGCGTGCCTCATCCTTCACCCAAACGTCTGCGGGGGACCATGCCGTCATATGGCTCCTTGTACCCATCGCAGCATGCTTTTAGACCGTTCCATTTCATCTTAGCATATGGTTGGTTCGTCATCAAAGAGTTGACGCGACGGTACCAGAGAGCGTCCGGTAGCTCCATTTCATTAGAGGAACGAATACTCGAGCTGCCGCGATGCAGAAGTTTGCCGCATAAGACATTTCGCTCCTGAAATCCAAGCAAACGGAGGCGCAAGCTGTAGTCGACATCCTCCACGTAAGCTGGGTAGAAGTTCTCGTCAAAATATCCCACCGTGCCGCTCGCCAGGCGTGTCAAAATAACAGATGTAAAACAACTGCTTTTGTAATACGCGCAGAAGTGCCCGTAATGCTTCGAAAACGCCTTTTCACGCTCCTTCACAGAGGCATAACGGATGCGGTCAGGCAGCAGCGCAGACGTCGACAATCGGCTATCGTTCACCGTGGAGCGCAGCACCCTCAAGCCCCGTCGCAAAACAGGACTGTACTCGCTCGGCTCATTCGCCACTTCCGCCGCCAACCCATCCATGCGAGCGGCATCATGCCTCGTCATTTCATGCACATCGCGTAGAAGGTTGGGAAGAAGATCGGGTGAAAACATTACGTCGCTGTTTGTCACAAAAACAAAAGGCACCTCCTCGCGCGGCAGCGAGAGTGCAAGTCGTGACCCGATGTTCGCGGCAGCGCTGTACCCGATGTTTTCCGGGTGACGACTCACAACCAGGCGTCCGGACCACCCATAGACCCTCTCGAGTTCCTGCAGGCACAACGACAGCATCGCCTCCCGCCCGTTCTGCACCAAAACCAACAGCCGGATGGGCACACTGATGTTGCACATCATCCTCCGAAAGTCCATCAGATCGAGCATCAGCGGGACCACCATCAACGGGATAACGTCCGTCCCGTTATTATTTCCCCCAGCCGCCGTGTCGTTGGGTCCACCAGAAGCCTTTCCCCGACGCAGTGGATATAGTCCGCCCTGGTCGGATAAACTTCAACATCATGAGCGGAATCGTCACCAAACAGAGGTTCCACCTCTAAACAAGTATACATATATATCAGCATGAACAAAAAAAAAGATAGTAGAAGAAAGATAAAGCATCCTTTCCAAAAAAGGCTCGTGGCTCCGTTTTTTAAACTGCGTGTAACTCCGCGCATACCCCGTTGGAGGCAAAGCCAAGGGAGTATCTCCTGAAAGAAAGCAAAAAAAGTAAAACAGAAAAAGAAGGTGCGCAGGAATGGCTCCGTGTCAATGTGTAAAAAAAAAAGATTCCTTCCAGCGCAATGGCCACGCACGGATAACGTCCTTGGCCTTCCGTCCGCACAAAAAGGCTCGAGCGCCCCAATAAAGCCCTCCACGCGGGAAGGCTATCAGAGACACCGCGAACCGCACCAGGTACAAAAAGAAAAAATAATAATCAAATAAATGAATCGATGATGAAGCCCAGCGCCTCAGCGTGTCTTCTGCAACGCCACTCGTCATCACAAAATATTTAGAAAGCGACAATGTGGGAAAAGAGAAAGATCGAACGGAAGCACAAGCCCACCATCAAAGGTGATGGGTTTTCCAAACCCGCGCCCCAACACAGCAAGAGTTCTTAAACTAAAAAAGAAAAAAAAACCTCATGGGTAAGAACGAGAGAAAAATCAGCCGACCGTCCACCCGGAGGGAAGGAGGGATTCCACCGCGGTGTCCTCCACGACGCAAAAACTCCGCGTCCACTGCCCGGTGTCGTGTGCGGACTCCGCGAGGGGGTTTTGGGCACGCCGCTGTGCCACACGGTGTGACTCCTCGGAACGCAACGGCAGACGCGTCTCCTTCCGGTCGCACTCGTGGCGGTGGCGGCATCCGCTGCCTCGCTGCGTGCTGGTGGCGTCAGCTAAGATGCTGTGGAGTGAGAGAGAGAGGGTGCCCGGCACGAGCGGTGCTGCGTTGGGTGGGCGGGCAAGGCCCTCCGCGGCGAGACACCCAGCGCGACTCCTGACCGCGGCGCTCACGCACTTCCCTCCACGCCTCTCCCCCCATTCGGCAATCGCACAGCCGCCAGCAAATTGTTCCCTAAGCAACACACGTAAAAGCGTCGCGGCATATCTCCCAAGAGAAGAGAGTGACAGCCACACGCTGCGGCCATCGTGCCGACAAGTCCGGCGCGGATGCACCCACACCCACAGTAGCAGACAAAACAAAGAAGAAGTCTTCCACTCCGTGTCATGTCCTCGTGCGTGTTGGTTCGGCGTTTAAAAGCAATGCCGCCACACGCAGCGCAACCTTCCCGCAGGGGATGAGAGCCGCGGCGCACTCCCACTGTCTCTTCCTTCTCTTCATGCCCACGGAGGAAGCAGCAGCCACCCGCAACCGTCAGCACACGCTACAAAAGAAGCATCAAAATCCACTACAATGTGCATCTTGTGTGTGGTTGTGTGTGCCTGCAGACACACGAGGCAAAGAAGAAAAAACAGGAGCAGAGCATGTGAAGAGACGCACAAACAAAAATGTACAGCAGAGGTGCATGGCAGAAATAACAGGACTGCTCAGGCTCATGATATTGCACTGCATACCAAGCAGCGGCAATTCATAAAAATTATTAAAATTTTAAAAAATTCATCTTCACCTTCCACCCCTCACACTTTGGAAAAAAGAAAAAATGAAAACATTAAAACACGAAAAAAAAAATTTTGATTCGGCAGGAATTTCATGTGCCATGCAGCACAAGAAGATCGGGGGCGTATGCATATTCCCTGCACAAACAAAAAAGAAAACAAAAAAAGGTTGTACTCTCCCACCAGCCCACACAACATCCCTTATATTCCATGCGGCATCCGGCCTGCTCCCCCACTCCTCGTTTTGTGCAGTCCGCCGGACGCGCAGCAGTGACGCCGGCACCGCGAGTGGGCAACAAAAGGGAAACAAAAGTCGGAAACACGTCGCTCATAACGGATTGTAGCAAACGACCATAAAAAAAAAAAAAAAAAAAAAACTGAAAAAGTGAAAAAAGATTTTTAAAAAGAAAAAAAAACATTAAAGAAAAACATCAAAAACCGCAAGAAAAGCGGCACGTATTCTCCGTCGGGAGTCGCAATTCCACACTCGTTGCCTCACAATGCTGCCACAGCTCCACACAGTCCCAGAAGAAGAAGCATCGACACCCGAGACACGCACACACGCGCAGTACTGTCGACATTCCAATTATGCAGCATCAAATTCGCGTCGTTGAGCAGGGCGAGGCGGTCCTCTTGGGTCGCGCCGCTCCCGGATTCGGAGTGGTTATTTTCTGGAACAGGGGCCTCGCTTTGTTTGGGCAGCAATCCCTCACTTCCAGCCAGAGGCGCCACGCTCTCTTGTACTGGCTGCGCATCCCCATCTCCATTGGTCTCCCTTGACTGCAGGGTTGTTGGATTTGCTCCCTCCTCCGGCGCGGATTGTTCTTCCTCCCCCATCGGGCTTTCCACTTCCGTAGTGAAGAAATCCTCGCTGTGCGTTGTCCCAAATTCACCTGCTCCTGCAACAGCGGCCGTAGGCGAATTGTTGTTTTCGCCAGAGGCGGCTGGTGCTGCTTCCCCCTCACTGCCTGTTGGAGTGCTGGTATTGCTTCCCGCTTGGTGGTCATGTTGCGCCACGGCAGCCTCGGCGTCTCCCTGTGGCAATGGCTTCGACTGAAGAGCAGCTGAGTCAACATTCTCCGATTCGGTGCCACGGCCGGACCCAATACTCTCTGCAACAGGGACGGGCGCCTCTGGTGAACTTTGTCTCAAGAATTCCGGGCGTACCTTCCTGCCCCACACCCTCTCCTCGTCGTCCCATTAAACCACGGGAATGACACTGCCGCCGGTGGCGGATATCGTGCACACCTCCGCGTACTTAGGGCAAATGACATTTTCCTTATTGTAGGGTGGTGTTTCTCACATAATCGTCTCCTCTTCTGTGCATGGGAGCCAATCGACGCCACGCTTTTCAGGATCTTTCAGATGCACCTGCATGCCAAGACAATTCAGTTCCGCATGCATGGCAGCACTCAGATACGTATACTCCGGGTCCTTCACATCTGTCGTGTTGGTGGGAAGCGTGTCTAGACACCACGAAGAGGGCTTATCCCCGGGCCTCGCAGACAAATATTCTCCCTTCTCAAAAACAGCCTCAAGGTCCCTCACGTCCATCGCGGGATCAATGATGGGGCAACTGTCCATCGGGGGCTGTTTTGAAAATTCAATGATACTCCGATGACACCAACCACTGGAATACCGATCCGACGCGCAGCGTTTGACACCATCGTTTATGTTGCAGAACATGTGGGAATATTTACTCAGGTTCAGTTCGGAGCACCTCTTCTGCAGCAGCTCACAGCCCGACTTCTTGCCCCAACCCATCGGCTCCGCCATATCCCAGCTCACCTTGAAGTAGCCCAGGTCAGCAAATGCAGCCAGCGTCAGCTCCGTGTAGTAGCCGGCGCCCCCAATCGGTGCCATCAACTCATCCTTCGCGTGGCGCTGTGACCAGTGCGACTCCAGCGTACCCCCGTCCCCTTTTTGATCTTGTAGCTCCATGCCATAAATGTCATCGCAGTCGTAGTGCTCCCTCGCAGCCATCGCGGCATTCGTCGAGTTCACCACCACCGACAGCGCCCTGCCACGCACGCCGGTAACATTCCTCACCATGCTGCGGCTGGCCATGTGCGGGTGGGCGAACCCGAGAGCATGGGCCATCAGGTGCGCGGCGATGCGGGTGGCAAGGCGTCCGCAAAATAAAACGGCCGGGCAATGTTCATGACGCCAACGACGGGACGGCCATCCTCCAGCGCGGCGCACGGCAGTGCCCACACACCACCCGGCGCTGCAGCCACGTACAGCACCATGTCAGAATTGGCAGCACCAGCGGAACAATGCTCAGCAGGCACAGTGAAACGACTGCAAAAACTGCCCGTGGCGAGTGACGGCACAACCAACGGACCCTCCAGTGGCTGGACGAGCAGACGATCCGCATGCAGTTTGACAGCTGCAGGGACAACATTGTCGATTAGGATTTTCCTCTTATTACTGGAAAGAGCATCGTCCCGACAATCGTAATGGCCTGTCAATGGATTTTTCACGTAAGAATAATCTGAGCTGCAATACTTACTGGCATCATCCAGGTCCCTTGTCGACACATTGATGCGGATGGGTGCCCATCCATTCTCCCCGATGACGGTGTATGTCTGCGACGCACTTCCCGTTCCAGAAGGCACGTTTTTCATCACCACCGGCATCGATTTCGTCCTGTCGACACGCATCACTTTGTCAAAGGAGCAATGGTACGTCAGGCTGGCAGCAAAGCACCCGCTGGAACAACACATCAAAGTCAACATCATGAGCAGCAATGGCAGCGCTGCAGGGCACGGTGAGGCGAAGAGCCACTGAACCATCGGCGTGACTGTTGGAAAAGTATTTCTTGGCTTGCTGAGGCAACAAAGACTGATTGGTTGAAAAGAAAAATGAGACGCAAACGTCACCACACAAGAAAACAAATGATGGTTAATGAAAATACGCCCATTCAACCACAACACAAGCAGAGATTTAAAACACACACGTGACGGGAAGTCGAGGCGTGGGACGAACAGCGCACACACTCTCATTACTCCCGTAAAGCAAAACACACACACAGATGGAGAGAGAGAGAGGTCGCCCACTCAAAGCAATGAAAAACAAAACAGAAACAGTTACGGTGCTCCGCCCATGCAGCCAGGCAGGACGGCAGCGGTGCGTGTCGTGCAAAAGAGAGCACCAACGGGCTGCATGGGTGTGCATGCATATATACAATGGGCACATTATTGTGTGTGCCTCGTGGGGTGAGGTGAGGGCGAGAGTCCATGCAAGGGGACACACACAGAGAGAGAAGGACGAGTGTGTGTGCGGGCGGTGCACGGCTCTCCCACACTCACTCTCACGCGGCCACCACCGCAGCCGCAGCCGCACACGCAACAACAACAACAAGAAGCAAAGGAGGGGAGGTGGAGTGGAAGGCCGCGGTGCTGCCGTCGCTGTCGCCAGTAGTCGCAGCATCATTTGTTATAGCTGCAGCTTCGGCATTTGCTGTTTTATTTGTATTTTCTTCTTTATCTTCACCTTGTTGTGCTTCTTTCTTCGCTTCACCATCAGGCGCTTGATCACGTTTTGGAATGCCTTCTTCATTTCCTTTGTCAGCGTCATTTGTACTGGCACCTTTGGAAGCTGAGGGTGATGTTGAAATTGATTCGGCGCTAACTTCTGTTGGTCCGTCTGTTTTCGTGACTGTGGTGGGGACGGCTTCTTCCTTCCCTGAAGCACTTCTTGACCCCATGTCGTGTTGAGACGCTTCTACATGTTGCACTGAAGGGTCATCTGCAAAGGAGGGGTTTTCATCTTTTGTTTGTGTTGTTGCTTCTGCCGCTGCTTCTGCCGCTGCTGCAGGTGCTTTTGGTGTTGGTAATTTGAGTCCTTCTTTCTGGGCGGAGCCGTCATCAGAGCTGGACTGTCCCTTCGCTGGTGTTGCATTTAAAGTTCCGGCTGGGTTTCCATTCAGTGTCGTTGTTAATGGTTCTGATGGCGGTGGTACTCCTTACTGCGGCAATGTTAATTGGGATGTTTCTTCGCCTTCAATTGAACTTTTGGGTTCCTCAATTCCTTCGGTTTCTTCTCTCCCTCTCACTGTGCTTGCTGGCGATGCCATGATCACACCATTATCCTGGCTGATGCCATTTCCTGTTTGTGCACCCAAAGACTGATTGCCGTTTTCGGGACCTTCCTTGACTGAATCCTGCGTTACATGTTGTTCGGCACTAACAATACCAGAAACAAGCTCTGAACTGTCAAATATTTCATCTCCCTTCATTTCGGTACCTTTATCGGCATTGGCCTCCGCCATCACACAGCCACGCACCGTCCCATCCAGCAATGAGAGTCACGCACCACAACAACAACAATGAAAGGAGTGCTGATCGACCGCCCCCTTCCCCACACCCTCACAGTCAATATTACCGTCAGCGTTACTCCCTCTTTAGAAAAACTCACCGGCATGCCGCGCTCACCTGCAGCACGCGTAGCTCGTCATCCTCCCCCGCAGTCCAACAGCTCCGTGTCATCCACTTCTTCCATAGCCTACGGCATGCCACCGCCACGCAATACTCACACACGTGCTCCATGCGCTGCATTTTGTTCTCCTCCTTGTATTTGTGGCGGCACCGCAAAGTCTTGCAGCCGGCGGCATCGTGGTGCTGGAAGAAGTACGGCGCAGCAACCGTGCGGGTGTCCGTGTGGCTGTACTCGCGCTTCAACTCGTCCAGCACGAACGGGCTGGCGGCAGCTATTCCAGCGGGTTCATTTTCTTCTTCCCCGCAAAACCGCGGACGCCTCACGGGGCCCTCCAACGGCGTCACGCCATGTCCCATGAGGTCATGCGCACCGCCCTCTCATGTTCCCCTTCGTAGCCGCAGAAGAACGCAGCACCCACATGCAATTGCCGGCAAGATAGGACCATCCACGTAAAATAAAACGTTATACGTGTCGTGCGAGGGTGGTTGTATGTCTACAGAGACGTAAAGGCAAAAAAAAAGAGAAAAAAGAAGGCAGCCATGCCAAGAGGCAAATACGCACATAAGTACCGCAGAGGTCACAGAAAAAATAATCATTTCAATATATATATATGGCACAACTCAAGCCTGCACGGCAGCCTAAGCAGCGGATAAATAAGAGAACAATTACGGAAGAAACGGAAAAAAAAAAAAACTACGCACTCAACTCAGTTTTCGCGCAGATCGTTAAATGTAAAAAATTGGATAATAATAATAATAATAATAATAATAATAATAATAATAATAATAATAATAATAATAATAATAATAATGGCAAGTATCATTATTACTTTTATGATTATTATTTTACAAAAATGAAAATCGAAAAATAAAATAGAAAATTTTACAAACCCGCCAACAACATCAATAAAATATGTAAAAACCATCAGCATGTAAATATACACTGCACCGCCGGAGAAAGCAACAACGCCGTTTTAATATCAGTAATGAGCTGCAAAACCCCAAAGCCCCAGCAGAAGTAACAGCACCCAAGACACATTCCCATGCACAAGGCTCACCTCTCCACTTTCCACCCGCGATGAACTCGCAGAATTGGAGCTGTCGCCTCTGCCTCCTTCCTCCGACGCACTCGCAGAATAAGAGCTGCCATCATCGTATTTTGGGCCTGCCTCGCCGACCATGAGCCATCTCATATGCTCGGAATTGAGTCTTCGGTTATACAAACGGGCGTTGAGGAGTGACAAATGGCTGGATTCTGCAACTTCCCCACCCTCCCCGCGGAATTGGATGTGTGAAATACTGTTTGTTTGGAGAAGAGACCCCTTGTGGGTGCCAAGGTAAGCCGCCCTCGCGTTAATGTACAAATCCCAATGGCCCGTGTCGTGTCGCAGCACCACCTGACACGGTTTTTCTGGGTCCCACCCTGTTGGAAGTATTTGTCCACCGCCACTATGAATTACAGTCATCCACCTCCCATCATGGGTGTAAACACACCAAATAGCACAGTCCTGTCCCCGTCATCCATCACCACACGAATCAAAGGAATGGGGGCGCGTTTCTTCGGCTCATCGTGGATGACCGCCATCACCACTAGAGTGAACCTTTTGTGTAAGAAATGGTACGGTTGATTCTGTCCACTTCGGGAAACAGGCCACCCCGCCCCTGCTCCGGGTCCTTCAAACGTCACTCCATTGGAGAACCCTCTCACCGTCCCATGAACAGTCGCGTTCACGCAGAGGTACTCGTCCATCCACTCACTCCCAGCTGACAGACCAGACAAATAGCCAACAAGCCCGTCAGTAAGAATGGGACGAATACACATGCCCCTTCTCACCGGGTCGATAGTGGCAGTGGGTCTGCACGTTCTTAAGGCTTCATCCAACTCCTGCCACCTCTTCACCACAGTCTCTATCCGCTCCAGCTGTGTAGCCACGTGCACAGCAACAAGACCGTATGACCCCTCACTCCTATTCTCGTACAGCGAAATCAGATCGCCCCCACTGCTATACAACAGGGAACCGGCAGCAGCGTCATCAGCTGCATCGGCTATCGGCCCAGCATCATGCACACGTGCACCGTCCGTCACCCAAAGATGAAGCCGACCCCTACCTTTTTCTCCTCCAAATACACCGGCGTGGTAACAAGCAGCACTTCCCCTCCCTCAATGGTTACGGTGGTGAGGCCACAGCGAACGCCATACCCTTTTCGACCATACGAGTTGCCCCACACGCGAGTGATTGGCCTACCACTCATGTCCCAACGTATCCCAGAGTCAATGGACCTGAATACTTCGTAGTAGCCGGCAGCGCAAGGAGTAATCAAAATTAGATTTCCTTCCAAATTCGCGATGGATGGTTCCTTGCAGTTAATACCTGTCGTACCGGACGAGAGCTCCCATGCTTCCATACGCATGTTGAAACGCATGGACAGTACAACACTCCTTCCATCCTTTTCTACCGCCTGCATGGGAAGCACAGGGTAACCGCTCTTCGTCACAACACCCGATCCTCCACCACCGATCACCCTCTTCAGGAATTGGGTAAGCCCGATGGCCACAGGGTCCACCGCACGGATATCACCCCACATGATTTTCCTCTGCCCACCATCCTCAGTGAGAGTTCCCCGCGTCAGTAAAAGCCTCCAGCCATCTGCATCGGCAGCCCTACCGCCAGAAGTCCTCTTCTCGTAGTCCCCGAGGGCCATGTAGACACTGTCGCCGCTCACAATTGTCGTTGGCTGCGTCATTTCTCGTGCCCTGATCGCACCAATGGCGGCATCCACAGGTTCTACGAGAGAAACGCCTGCATCCATCGCCGAGATCGCCTTTGAGCCACCACCGCCCGGCTCAATGTGCGTTGATGCAGTCGCGGCATGGCCGCAGGCTCCGTCCCTTTCACTGCACCGAGCTTCAGCAAAGGCAAACACACCGCCGGCCACCTCAGCAAGGCTGGGAACACGAAGCGAGCCGGCGGCCGCCTCAGATCCAGTCATTTCTTGCCATTTATAGGGCGCCGGTGTCGTTCCCTGAAAAGGATCAACGGCCTTCCCCACTACTTCCATGAGCGGACACAGCTTCACGGACGCCGCAGAAAATTATCACAAGAAGCAGCACCGCGGAATAGAAGAGATACCGGGACATGCTGGGCATTTGCTGCTCACTCTCTCCTCCTTCCCTCCTCCTTCCACTGGATCCGCTCACGCCGCAACGGTTGTGTGTGCGGGGTGCCATCACTGCAGAAACACGTGAGAGCATATGAATATGTGTGTGTGGGCGGCGTATGTTCTGTTGTTGGTCCCTTCAGAGCCTTACAATTTCACAGTAGCGTTTAGCGCGTGTTTTCCTTCTCTCCTAGCGTGTTTGTGTTCAATAAGTGGAGAGTACAGCAGCAACAGCGGCAATACACCAGAAAGGTCAGTGGGGAGCAGAGCAGAGCACCCACGCAGAGAGTGGGACACAAGAGAATCCGGAAGAGAAAGCACGGAGGACCATCGCCCAAAGAAAAGAGCAGCAACACGCAAGTCACGGCGGGCCGTCGGTGTGTGCGGGCCAGCCCTCACGCGGTGCAACACGCCACACCCAACAGGGAATGACAGACAGACAGGCAGTGAGTTAAATGGATGCCGTCAGGAGGCACTCACAATCAACATGGCCCGTGAGCATTCAGCCACTCCACGCAGGAACACAGCAGGAGAAGATGACAAGGGAAAAAAGCAAGAAGCAGCACAACACACACGGAAGAAACAAATTGCGGGAAAAGCACCGCCACGGGCCTCGCCCTGGCCGGCAACTCCACTCCAGCCATCACAAACACACCATCGCAGTGCCGTCAGTCCGCGAAAGAAAAGATTCGGCCCTCCACACAACAAACTCACACACCGCCAGCAGTCAATCACACACTAACGGGATATAGCCACAGCCCACAGCCAACACACAACGCACACGGAGCAAGCAATCTCCCATCCACCCACACGCGGAAGCGGATCCTCATCCATCCATGACGCGGCAACAACATTCCCAGCCATTCCACCCACAATGGGATTCGGTGCCCAACTCAAAGAAGTCACAGGCGGTGCATCACGCCAACAGAAAAAGTGACTCGCGGTGCGCACTCCCTCTCTCCTCCCCTCCCCTTCATGCCCACTAGAGGAAGCAGCAGCCACCCGCAACCGTCAGCACACGCTACAAAAGAAGCATCCAAATCCACTGCAATGTGCATCTTGTGCGTGCATGTGGTTGTGTGTGCCTGCAGACACACAAATCAAAGAAGTGAAAACAGGAGCAGAGCAAGTGAGGGGACGCACAAACAAAAATGCACAGCAGAAGCGCATGGCAAAAATAACAGGACTGCTCAAGCTCATGATATTGCACTGCGGACCAAAGCAGCGGCAATTCATAAAAATTATTAAAATTTTAAAAAATTCATCTTCACCATTCCACCCCTCACACTTTAGAAAAAAAATGAAAAAAAATGAAAAAAAGAAAAAAAAGCACCCAACCACCATGTTGCTCCAGAAATTGTCTGCATATATTTTGTCCTAAAATAAAGTTAAAAGATATTTAAATGTCGTTCAGCCGTCCGACCCTCCGTGTGTCCGCACATCGTTTATATTTCATGGGGTCATCTGCGTGTTGCTGCTCCCCTCAGTCCTCTCATCGGCGTGTGAGTGCGGCCCGCAGAGCACAGTCACTCGTGTGTGTGTGGACTGAGAGAAGCACGCAGACGCGACGGGAGAGTGAGCGCAGCAAAAGAAAAAAAATCATCGGAGGGGAGAGAAATGCTGACGGGACTGTCAGCGCGTGAAATAAACACAAAAAACAAAAAAAAGAAAAAAACACGGCGGCAGGGTGTGGCTGTGTGTGTGGCGCTGCGGGTGTCTGCCAGCCCTGGCCGCAAGAAAACAAAACAAGAGGGAAGAAATGTGTGCTCCGCCCCACAGGCCCTCGTCGCACGCCCACACGTCACGGCTCCCTCAGCGCGCCGTTCGTCGCGGCCCCTCCTCATGCGTGCAGCAGGCGAGGCGCACAGGGCCGTCGTCATGAGCGTGTCGGTGGGTGTGCGAGTGGAGCAGTTGGGCGGGAAACACATGGCACTCCCCACAGGAAGAGTGCAGCAACAAACAATTAAAGAGGGAAGAGTAGAAAAGAAAAAAAAAAAACGTCCACAGTGATTGCCCTAAAGGCAACAAGCAAAAAAAGAAAAGTGATTTGCAAAAAAAAAAAAAAAAACAAGGAAAAGGAAAAAGAAAAAGCAAAAAATGAAATTGAAAAAATTCATTGGGTAATGATGGGATGCTGCTCAGTTGTTGCTCCTCAGAATTTCGTAACTTTGCTCTCCCCAATTCATTCAGCAGAGAGCCGCAGTGCCCCACAGCCCCAGAAGCATCAGCAACAACACCTGAGACACACACCAATGCACGGTGCCGTCACCAATTAGAGCCATGGCCGCCAACTCGCTGTAATGCCCCTTCTCAAGCAAAATGTCACGGTCCGAGGGTGTTGTTGCGTTGGACTCCGATGGGATTGCGGCTTCCCCAGGCGCTGTGTTTGTATTGCCCGGTGCGGTGTCGACCGTCTGTGGCGCCTCCTTGCCGTCTTCAGAAGAAACTTCAGTTCCTTCAGTCCGAGAGATGTTGTCGGTGTCCTCCGCGGATGTCGGTTCGGCGTCACTCTTTGAAGGAGTGATGCTGCTGCCTGAGTTCATTGTTCTCTCGGAACTTCCGTCCCTCGCCTCGAGGCTGAGGCTTTCCTCCGCGCCGGTGGTCCCGGTACCAGTGGACCGCACGTCGTTGTTTTCAGCGGAAGGCTCAACGCTTTGTTGCACTTGGTGCTCACCGTTCACTGATGCAGCGGCAGTGGCCATACTCAATGACGCAGCCACTGAGGACGTTGATCCGCCACTCCTGTCATTCGTTCCTCCATCCTCCTCTGGCTCTTCTGTATCATTACTTTCAGAGGATTTTTCAACATCACTGAACACCGTTAATTTCTCTGACTGTAGGTCTTGTGGCTGCACATCTGAATCACGTTGCATCGATTCCTTCGCTTCATTCAGCGCGGCTTGCTGGACCGTTTTGCCTTCGGAAAGTTGGGCATTATTCTCTGGAAGAGAATTCTCTGCGATCTCCGCTGCTATGGCGGACTCAGAAATAGAGGCTCCCGCGAAAAGCGTGGAAGAGGGCGCAGCAGGTACCGGATCATTAACGATTCCTTCCACTTGTTCATCATTATCATCCCCAGGCAATTCATGGCTGGCGGCGGTGGTTTCTTCACTCTTTGACTCGGAAGCAACTGAGATGTCTGTGCTGGCCGCCTGTCCTGTGGGTTGTTTCTCAACACCCAGTGATGGAATAGTGACTTTGCCGGCATTGAGTTTGCGCAGATCACTTCCCAACAGTCTCTCATTGTACAGCATGACGTTGGTCACCGTCACGTGGCCGCCCGTTGCACTTTGGTCCTTACTGTCCCCACCGATGTAGAAGTGTGAAATCCTGTGGAAGTCAAACAGACTCGTATTATATCTGTTGCGGTCAATTTCCCTCTGATCCACAAAGAAAGTCCATTCATCATCATCATCCATTCGCAGTCCCACCTGATACGTCCTGTTTGGCTCCCAATCATCAAAATCCTCCGCATCACCAGAATTCTCAGGTATGGCCAACCACTTCTTGTCATGGGTGTACGAAAGACCAAAGAGCACCGTGCTGTCGGTGTCATTCATCCTTACACCAATCAAAGGAACGCTGCCTACCTCCGGCACCTCGTGGATGGACACCGTCGCAGCAAGAGTGAACTCGTTGTTCGCAAAGTAGTACGGCACAGTCTGCCCCATGTCGCCAACAGGCCACTCCGCCCACGCCCCGGGTCCTTTGAACGTCCATCCATTGGGAACCCCTATCCTTTTTTCCGCCGGCCCATGGACAATGGCGTTCACGCCGAGGTACTCGTCTCGCCACTCGGTCACAGTTGAGTTACCAGACAAGAAGCCAACAAGCCTCTCAGTGGTAACAGGACCATTGCACATACCTTTTTTTGGAAAGTCGACAGTGACGCTGGAACCGGAACTGCAGGATTGCAAGGCGCCGTCCAAATCCTTCCATGTCTTCACCACTTCCTTTATCCGCTCCAGTTTCTCGGTCAGACGCACTGCAACAAGATTGTATGCTCCGTCTTTCTTGTTTTCGTACAGTGAAATCAACTCTTTATTATTATCTTTTATCAACAGCGAGCTGGCGGCGGCGTCATCTCCTCCACGGGATACCGGCCCAACATCATACACGCGTGTCGTGTCCGTCACCCAAAGATGGAGCCGACCCTCTTCATTGTCCTTCGCATACACCGGCGCGGTGATGAGCATCACCTCCTTTCCCTCAATGGTTGCGGTGGTGAATCCACTCTGGACGCCATGCCCCTTTCGATTGTGTGAGTTTCCCCACACGCGGTTAAGTGGCTCACCCAACGTATTCCAACCGTACCCATCCGAGATGGAACTGTAAACGTCATAGTAGCCTCCAGCACAATGAGCCATCATGAAGAGTCTTTCGTCGTCGTCTTCTTTCCACTTCACCAGGGTTGGATCCCTGCAGCCCTTACCAGTCGCCGTGGATGAAAGCTCCCATTTTTTGTCTGACGGGTTAAAACTCATGGACAGTAAAACGCGCTTTACATCCTTGTTTTTGGCCTGCATGGGAAACACAATCGCGCCATCACCCATCACAGCACCCGAGCCTCCGCCACCCAAAAACTCGGTCAATAAAACAGATTCTCCTTTTCGTTGAGGGTCCACCACATGGGTCTCATTCCACACAAGTTTCTTGTTGTTTCCACCCTCATCAGTGACAGTTCCCTTCACGAGTAAAAGGCCCCGCTCATTCGTACCCGCATCCTGCGACTTTGTAGGACTGTATTTCCCCACCAGCATGTAGACAATCTCCCCAATTACAACTGTCGTTGGCCGCAACACTTCCGTTGTCCCAAAACTACTCGCGGCGGTGTCCACAAGTTGCATGCGAAACAAACTTAAATCCGACGTAGAAATATCCATTGAGCCATCACTTATATTCAGGTGCTTTGACACAATCCCAGCACAGCTGCCGGCTCCGTCCTTCTCCCCGCACTGCGCTTCAGAAACGGCAAATACATCATCACCCACTTTAACGAGGCCAGGAACACGGAGCGAGGTGATTTTCCTGCCATCCTCGTTAAACTCCTTCCAATTGGCAAATGATATCGACGCCCTCCCTTTAAAAGGATCAATGGTATTCCTTGTTTTACCCCCAGCGGCCGCAACCCAACCGGTACCGCAGCACATCATCACGACAAGAAGGAGAAGCAGCACAGCGGAATAGAAGTGAAGCCGGGACATGCTGGGCCTCTGCGGTTCACTCTCTCCTCCTTCCCTCCTCCTTCCGCTGGATCCGGTCACGCCGCGACGGTTGTGTGTGCGGGGTGCCTTCACTGCAGCAACACGTGAGAGCATACAGATGTGTGTGTGGGCGGTGTGTGTGCTGTTGTTGGTCCCTTCAGTGCCTTCGAATTTCACAGTAGCGATTCGCGTTTGGTTGCTTTCTTTCCTAGCGTGTCTGTGTCCAAGAAGTGGAGAAGAAAACAACAGCGGCAGCACATCGGACACGTCAGTGAGGAGCAGAGCAGAGCACCCACGCAAAGTGCGGGAAAAAACAGAATCTGTAATGGACATCACGGAAAAACATCGCACACAGAAAAAAAAAAACAATAACAACACGGCAAGTCACGGCGGAAGCCAACACACACACGCACACATGGACGCGGAATTTCATCATTCGGCAACGCCATTCAAATTACTGCCAAAACAGTCCGCAAGTGATACAGTGATCGGTCACACGCTCCCGGTGCACCGCCGCGGCAATGACGCGGTCACAAAAGGAAGTATGTGCACAAACGTGGGCGGCAGCAATTCACAGCACCGCCACACGACATTCGCTCGCTCGGTCCATCCCACGTCCCGCCTCAAAAGGCCGCGGCAAGCACCAATCAATAAAATAATAAAGCGGCGGAAACAAATTCCCTGCAGGCACTTCAGGGCTCCACAGCAACGCCAACAACAGGAGCGTGCATCCCTCCGCTTGCAGCAGTGCAGGCCTCTTTGCTCCCGGCCTCTCGGGGCGTTGAGCACTACCAGACCATCTCGCGCTCACAAAACAAGCCGCACGCAGATGCCATTCATTTTCTCCGCAAATGGCGTTGCCGCGCTGAATCACCTGCAAATAATCCACAACTCATCACCCAAAGTTTCTTTCCATTGCCACAAAAGAAAAGGAAAAATGTTTTGAAAACTCAACACAAATACCACTTCGCCCTACTCACTGCGCATTGCCCCGCACAGGATCGTTGTTACTCGCCCTCTGCTCTTCGCCCATCCCATTCCTGCCTTCCAGGACGGACATCACAGTCGCAATCCCTCCCAAGAAAGACTTTACCACATGCTGGCACAGGCCACATTTTTCCCTTTGCATCCCGGTCTCCCGCTCACAGGAGGGCAAACAGGGGGATTGCGTGCGTGTGCGTGTGGATGGCCACGTAAAAACTCATGGAAATTCAAAGAAATACGGCACGCAGAGCGTGCCCCGCCCACGGATTGGAGGTTCACTCGTACACCGCAGCAGGAAGAACAAACGTCCTCTCGTTGCTTTTCCAAGAGGCCGATTCATTACCATCACGCCGCCTCAACAGCGTGTACCGGCGAGCGGAGGAGATGACTGCTCAATCGCACCTCATGTCGGAGGCGCTCATAACGTCTCCCTGCGGCCACTCGCCCTCAGCAACAAGCCGCATGGCAGAACGCAACTCAATTCACCCACTCGCCAATAAAACAAATAAACATGCATCTCACCGCCATAAAACGGCCATCAACATCTGTTTCACGGCAGACACCAAATGCCAAGGGATTGAAGAAATATATATATATACGCGTATGGTCTCCCACAATACATTCCAACAAAGGATAGCCTCTCAAGCCTGAAAACAAACACCGTAAAGTCACAGAAGCCGCCTCGTCAAGCCAAAAATCGTGTGGTGCCCCTCCTCGCAATGCTCTGCTGTCCGCAGACACCGCCCTCTGTGGTGTTTCAGCAAAAGCGAAAGAAAAAACATTCACAAACCAACAGCAAGAGAAGCCTCCACACGCAACGTGTGCATCACCGTGGAGCATCGCTTTTATCCCTGCAAGTAAAAGAGGCGCCGTCACATCATCCGCAAGGATCGCCACAAACACGCCAAATTTCGACGTACGCCAAACGCTCCGCCGTGACCATCGTTTTCCCGATAGGGCAGCCCACTCCCGTCCACCGTGTCTGCCGAGCGGGACACACCAGGCCTGCCGCTGCAACGCAAAAAAGAATCAGAAATACGCAACGGATCCCGTCGCAGTCGTTGGCTCAGCCGCCGTGTTGAGGTTTGGGATGGGCGGATGGAGGAATAAAAACAAAACGGGCAAATATTCCCGCGGAATCCCGCATTCCACGCAGTCCCAATGGCCAGAGGGTCCTCTGGGGACGCCTGGGAGACGCATCCGCCACACTCTCACGCACCATCATTCACGGCTCCCCAATCGAGTCCAGCGGGCCTCGTGAAGCACACGGCGCGCCTCAGTGGCGTGGCGAGCAGCCTTCTCGGAGAAAAGGACGCGTGGCGATGGTTCCCCTCCCCACTTCACTTTTCTTTTTTTTCTCCTCCTGTTTTTGGTGGCATGTCACAGAAGGGGAGCGTACTTCATGTCCCCGAGCCCTTCTCTCGGTACACGCACAAAAACAGAGAGGGGAATAATAAACGAGTGTGTCAGGCGGCACGGAGAAATAAATGTGCGGGAGACAAACAAAACAACAGAACAAACAAAGAGCCCAACAGATATGCACGCAGCATATACAGCGGAAACGGGTGTCACCTTCAGTGGGTAAATTAGTAGCCAATGGCGGTGTCGATCGCCCACGAAAAGAAACAGCGTTGTGCTCACAATACTTTTGGCTTGTTTTCTGCTTCCCTCCCCTTTTATTTCCCCCTCATCCATCATCTTCACGTTTCTTACTTTCTACTTCCCTCTCCTACCTTCGGCAGCACTGCCAAGTTTGGACGCTGCGCCCTCTCCTCCCCCGTCATGTCAAATATACGTTTACGCTCTTAAAATCCACGGCGTACTCGCTTAAATATTAATCGTGTAAATAACCAAACAGAGGTGTAAATTTTTAAAAATTAAGGCAAAACAAAATAAGAAAGCAAAACTTGTGTTTGTTGCCGAATCATCTTCCTTTAGTCCTCACAGGGTACAAAAGCCTCCTGTCGTAGTCAATACTTGGAACTCTTCGGATCTCATCATGCCCGTAGGCCCGAATGCGCTGTATGCGTGCCTCATCCTTCACCCAAACGTCTGCGGGGGACCATGCCGTCATATGGCTTCTTGTACCCGCCACTGCACGCCTGTGGACGGTTCCACTTCATCTTGGCATATGGTTGGTTCGTCATCAAAGAGTTGACGCGACGGTACCAGAGAGCGTCCGGTAGCTCCATTTCATTAGAGGAACGAATACTCGAGCTGCCGCGATGCAGAAGTTTGCCGCATAAGACATTTCGCTCCTGAAATCCAAGCAAACGGAGACGTAAGCTGTAGTCGACATCCTCCACGTAAGCTGGGTAGAAGTTCTCGTCAAAATATCCCACCGTGCCGCTCGCCAGGCGTGTCAAAATAACAGATGTAAAACAACTGCTTTTGTAATACGCGCAGAAGTGCCCGTAATGCTTCGAAAACGCCTTTTCACGCTCCTTCACAGAGGCATAACGGATGCGGTCAGGCAGCAGCGCAGACGTCGACAATCGGCTATCGTTCACCGTGGAGCGCAGCACCCTCAAGCCCCGTCGCAAAACAGGACTGTACTCGCTCGGCTCATTCGCCACCTACGCCGACAACTCATCCATGCGAGCGTCATCATGCCTCGTCATTTCATGCACATCGCGTAGAAGGTTGGAAAGAAGATCGGGTAAAAACATTACGTCGCTGTTTCTCACAAAAACAAAAGGCACCTCCTCGCGCGGCAGCGAGAGTGCAAGTCGTGGCCCGATGTTCACCGCAGCGCTGTACCCGATGTTTTCCGGGTGACGACTCACAACCAGGCGTCCGGACCACCCATAGACCCTCTCGAGTTCCTGCAGGCACAACGACAGCATCGCCTCCCGCCCGTTCTGCACCAAAACCAACAGCCGGATGGGCACACTGATGTTGCACATCATCCTCCGAAAGT